GGAGGGGGTGAAGGGAGGGCTAGGAATGGGGAAAAAAGTAAGAACCAAGATGCATTATGTAAAGGTACAATTCCCAATGAGAAGTGTAATTGTGTTGTATACCTAAAATGTACCAATAAAAGAATTTAACAACAACAACAACAAAATAGTGTTTAGAACTGCTTCCTACCGGTGATGCTTCCTTGACCTGACAAATCACCTCAGATAACAAAGTCAAAACTTGGCTTAAAGAAACTTGGGCTGAGGACCTATTTGGTGGTACAGTGCTTGCCTAGGCACATACAAGTCCCTGGGTTCACTTCTAATAAAACTCAAAACAAACAAAATAACTAACCTAACTTTAGGGGGACTGACTTAACTACTCTTTGGGAAGTGCAGATGCTCAAAGCCACAAACTACATTTTATGTGAATCCGATCTCTTCCTATTAGCTGTAAATATTTCTTTAGGGATTCCTTATAAAACTCTATAAACTTTTAAGAAATAGTATCCGACTAGGGCAGCCTTCCATAGTTCTCTGGGGCTTCCTATCTTGTTTAATGGCCAAATTGCTTCATTATGAATATTTATATGTATACATATTATATTATATATATTGGTACCAGGGATCGAACTCGGGACCTTGTGCTTGTGAGGCAGGTGGTGGAACCACTGAGCTAAACCCTCGCCTTCATTATGATTATATAAAAACTCTAAGGCTGGGGGAAACCTCAACAGAATTTTCAAAATATATATGAACACAGCGGTACCATCTTCCTCTAGCCCTGATCTCTTCAACAGACACTTTTTGGAGGCACAGCATTTACATGTAATGGGAGAGAAAAACCTTGAGCAGGCGAGACAGAGAGAGAGAGAGAGAGAGGGGAGAGAGAGAGAGAGAGAGAGAGAGAGAAGAAGGGAGACTGATTTATGGTAAGGACTGTTTGACCACTAGAATAATACTATTATTAATTCTGAGGCAAATGTGAAGCAACTTCTACTTGCAATCTCTTATGTATTTCCTAGAGGGATCCTGTCTTATAGTTCTAGGTTATCAATTGATAAAAATTCAAAATAAAATCTTCTAGGACCGGGGATTTAGCTCAGTGGTTCGTTCTGCTGCCTGCCTCGTTAAGCACAAGGACCTGAGTTTGATCCTTGGTACCAAAAACCCAAAAAAACCCAAAATAAAACCTTCTGCCACCTCAGGATCTGAATGCCAGAAAGAGCAACACTAGCGGCAACATCAGCATGTTTCCTGTTGATCAAGGTCTCCATGCCACCAAAAAACAAAAGAGGTAGAACCCTGAACCTGGAGTACAGCCTCAAAATCCTTCCATGACAACTACCAATACCAAGTATTTCACGTATCTGCCTCCTTCCAACAAAAGCCACATTGGAAAATCCAACAAGAACAATAGGAGGACATCTCAGGATTGGCAGGAAGTGATGGTTTACCATGGAGAAGTTTTCTATAGAATCAAGACGCAACAGAGGTAAGATTAGTAGGGGACTATAGGTCTATCTTGTTACTAATTAGATAAACCAACAGGTCTGGACCTCAGTATCCTTGGGTATAAAAGTAAGAAGGCTGGACTAGATAATCTCTGAAGTTCAGTTTAATTCTAAAACTATCAGACTTATTGGATTACAGACAGAAAGTATTAAATGTACAGAACCCATATATAGTTGGGATTTAAGTATTTGTAGGTCAATTTATTATTCCTTGGTGCACTTACATGTTTTCAGATAGAGAAGTATTTCTTATTTAAAAATATAGTCAGGGGCTGGGGATTTAGCTCAGTGGTTCCGCCGCCTGCCTCGCAAGCACAAGGTCCCGAGTTCGATCCCCAGTACCAAAAAATAAAAATAAATAAAAAAATAAAAAATAGTCATATTAGGTCTGAAATTATCTGTATTAGTAAAGATAGGGGAGTGAGCTGGGTGTGGTGGCACACACCTGCAATCCCAGCACTTGGGAGGCTGAGGCAGGAGGAATGTCACAAGTTTGAGGCCAGCCTGGGCTACACAGTGAGTTCTAGGCCAGCCTGAACTAAATAGGAGGATGAATGGATAGAAATTTTAACTTAACAATTTAATTTTCATATGTTTTCTCCATGAAAAAAAATTTATTTTTTTTGTACCGAGGATCAAATTCGAGTCCTTGCGCTTGTGCAGTAGGTGGTGAAACCACTGAGCCAAATCCCTGGTCCTGAAAAAAATTTTTTATAAAGTGATATAATTTGATATTACAAGATTATTGGTTTGACTTAAATAGCTACTCTCTTTTTCACTGGTTTGGCAGCCAAATTCTAGACAATTCTTACTAACCAAAGTGAATGGATCAGATACTTTATTTTTATGGTAGAAGTATGTTATAGTTTAGGGAAGTGAATACCAGTATAAATACTAGAAGATGTGGGTTCAAATTCTAACTCTGCCATCATTAGACTGGAGTAAGTTACTTGAACCCTGGATTTCTATCTATTTAACAACTGCACCAGCAAAGGCATCCTTACCTACCAACACCACTGCTAACCATTTAACATTCACCAAAATGCCAGGTCCCAGGTTAGGTGTTGAGGCCACAAACATGAATAAGATCTCTTTGGTGTGCAAGAAAGACAGGTAAATAAACACTTCCAGATGCCACTGAATGGAGGCTAGAGAACAAATTAGAAGGTAAAACTGGTAAAACTTGAAGATGACTGGATATGGGTCAGGGGGCTTGAGAAAATCAAATGAAGATATTAAGGCTATCTGAAAATTTAAATGCCCCCCATTCACCTTTCTTTACAGATATAACCCAGCAAATATACTAAAAAGAAGGGTAAGAATCATTTTGGCCTAGAATAGACACAGCAGAATGCCAATACTCCTCAGAAATATCTATAATTTAGTTCCTAGCATTGGCTCTGCAGGGAAAGATGCATGGTAGAGGTGATATATTTCTATTTTCATTTTCTTTCTTCTATTTTACCAACTATTATGGTTAAAAACAGCTGGGTCTAGGATATCAGCAACAGTCATGAAGTCTGTCTCATAAGTGCAAGAGAATCACTCTGAATAAGGCAAAAAAATAGAATGCTTAGAAATCTGTTCTAACAACTCATTTAAAAATAAGTTTTAACCAGTTCTCCCAATAATCACACATATAAAATTTCTCTTTAAAATTTACCAGTCTATAATATCTAGAGCATACAAAGAATTGAAAAAAAATCAGATCCCCCAAATTTAAAGACCCAATCCAAAAATGGGCATCTGAGATGAATACACACTTTTCAGATGAAGAAGTAGAAATGGCAAATAAATACATGAAAAAATGTTCAACATCACCGGTCATTTGAGAGATGTAAAGTAAAGTAAAACAATACTGAGATTCCATCTCACTCCAGAAAGAAGGGCCAGTATCAAGAAATCAACCAACAATAAATGTTGGCGGGGCTATGGGGAAAAAGGAACCCTTCTCCACTGTTGGTGAGAGTGTAGACTGGTGCA